GTGAAAATTTAAATATGGAAATATATGTAGGTTGGGTATTTGACAATACAAAAAATCACATCTCTCCCTTTGGAAATTAGTTCAAGCATATTTATTCTATTGATTTTAATTGAATCTTATCCACTAGACAACTAAAGAGAGTCGGGTTGTTTTATGACTAGTTTAAGAATTGCACTAATACTGATGGCAACAATAAACAAATTGTCTTAGTTGATTGAGCTTGTAGGACATATATATTTTACCGTGTTGAGTGGATATAAGACCGAATTTGAGCTCCATCCTCTTCAGTGACAGCAGCAAATGGATCAGTTCCATAGACGTACTGAGTCAATTGCCTTAAAGCGTTGTCGATCATAATTATTCCCATCGCGCCTTGTTTCATTAACGTGTTTATCTTATCTACCAATGAATGTCTGTCCTTATATCCACACAGAACGATTTTCCCCTTAACTTTGGCGGCGTTTAGTGAACCCGGTACACAATTGCTGGGAACATAAAAATAAATAAATAAAATAAAACCATAACTATGCTCAGTACTACACAACCAATAAATTACCTTGCATCAGATGAATTGTGTTTATTAGATGCTGAGCGCCCTTCTATCAAACGATAAATGGGATGTTTGTTCAATCCGGAAAAGTTGATGCCCCCACCCTAAAACGGTATCATTCATCATTTTTGTTTAAATAAGAAAGAACAAAATGCAGTTTCATCATTAAGTCATTCATTCATATTTCATACCTTGATCACCTTATTATTTCCACCCAACACAATCGACACCTCAAACACACGGTCGATAGTAGTTGCACCAACACTTAAAACCCAAGGGACAAAATTTTTAAGTGTCCCACTCGAAGGGCCTCTATTCCCGACAGAGCATACTACTATGATCCCCTTCTCCATAGCATGAAATGCACCTATGGCAATCGGATCTTCCAGCAGATTATCGTGCATTCCACCTACTGATAATGACATCAAGTCGACCCCATCACTGATTGCATCATCCATTGACTTTAGGATAGCTGATGCCAAACATATACCATCTTCGTCACATATGCTATACACTGCAATCCTTGCACTAGGCGAGCCCCCTTTTGCAGTCCCTTCAGCTAGGCCACAGAAGGAAGCCCCTGCCACAGGCACCCCAGCTGCAATTGAAGAAATGTGCGTACCGTGGCCTGATTTGTCCCTAGCTGTTAGAATATAGCCTGGCTGCTCAGCATCATCATAATACCTTGCTCCAATCACTTTACTATATTTTTTTTTTAAGAGAAAAAATGGTTAGTAAGAAAGAATTCTACAAAACCATAACCTAGAAAGAATTGATCAGTTCTAGTTGATTATTTATTTATTTTTACTTGTTGCATATGAACAAAGAGGAATTTTTATCTTCTCCAGGCATGCATATCCCCTTCCAGCGTGAAGGGATTTCGCCCATATACGCGTCACTGAAACTAGGGTGCTCCGGAAAAATTCCTGAACCCATTATCTGAAATCATTATGTAGGCCATGGAAAAATCCAAGAAGAAGGCCGAGAGATAAAAATAAAAAGCAAATAATGGTTAAGTCTATGTTTGGTAAACAAATAAGCTAACTTATAGTTTATTTGGTTAGCTTATAAGCTTTGTTTGGTAGGACGAGCTTTTTTAAAAAGCTCGAGCTTATCCCATAAGCTTCTTTTGGTAGCTTTTATTTCAGCTAGCTTATCAGTTAATTTTACCAAACAATTTTATCATATAAGCTAGCTTTTCAGCTATAAGTCATAAGCTATAAGCTATAAGCTCGAAAATTACTTATAAACTATAAGCTAACTTATCAGCTATCAACTAGCTTATCTTATATCTTAGTTTTGCCAAACATAGTCTAATTATTACCTGTATCAAAGATACCAATGATTATGTCATGAGGTGTTGCTGAGCAGTTTGATATAGTAGGATAGGTCGAGGGAGGAGTTGCATTAGTGATTTGAAAAGCATTTAGGCTCCTCAAGAAATTCCAAGAACGAGTAGTGTGCAATTTTAACGGCCGATCAGGAAAAACCGACACGACTCCATCAAGAGCCGAGATAGATTTTGCCTCTTCGTCTGATAAACGAGCCGAAAATCCCAAGAAACTTCTGTTGTATGTTTGAACAACTGAATTTTGCTTCCTATGACAAAGCACACCAAGAAACTTTCTTCAATATGATATGTGATCAAATGCCAATTACAAGTAAGTCAAACAGTTCAGTTCAGTCAGCAAACAATGCATATAATCAAATAAACATTTTCTTATTATATAATTAGAAAATTTAAACCTTTTACTGAGCTCGCTCAGAAGATGGGCATGATCACTCCTTGGAGCACCATTTGGCGATTTTGTTTTTCCCATGTACACATTATAAACTGTGCCACGTTTTGATTTGGCTATAATATTTTCACGTGTTGATTTAACTGCTAAGCTGTTAGCTACGCCAAGAATTGAGATGATGAGGAGAAGATTGAAACAGAAAAAAAGAATATGGAAGCCTCTCATGATAGATAGTTAATTATCAAATCAAATGCCTAAACTAATGACATGTTCACATGATATTTGGTTTGTGCACTTTATATAGAGTTCATAGAATCACAGGAAAGATTATGTTAGATATTTAAAATGGTCTAACCTATAGGTTATACTTTATTTGATTTTATTTTATTCATTCATTTGAGTACTCTACTCTATTGGACTCCTTTCTTCGAGTACACTATTTTTAGAAAGATTTGTATGTAACTCTAGACTTTATTATTTTAATCTAGTTGTTCGTGAACACAATTCGATTTGACTCATGAAAGCTCGATATCAAGTCGTTCATTAACTTTAATGAGTCGACTTCGAATAGCTAAACGAACTCGTTTATATACTTAACAAGTTAGGCCGAGCTCATTCACGAACATCTCATTTTTCTTTTTCTTCTAATACAAATTCCAAACAAACGAATCGTACCAAACATGTTCGTAAACGAATCTCAAATCTTATCCGCGGAGAACTTGTTTATATTTTAGATTTATTAATCGAGTCGAACCGAATTTTGATGAGCTTAAAATGATTTTGGATAGTTATAGTGATTGAATTTCATACGTATTGCTTCATCAACTGGAGTTCTTTCTAGACTTGTTAGTTACTGTGTGCTTAAAACGAGTATCCTCGTATATGTAGGCGATCAGTGGATAACGAATAGCGGATAGCGGATTATATTAGTTGATTTGATCAACGGATTACATTAGCGGTTTTTAAATAAGTGTTTGGTAAATAGCTGAAAGCTTATAGCTGTTTGACATTATAAAATGACCAATAAGGACATTTTATTATTTAGGGTGTATTTTTCAATAATAATATATTAAAACATTTAATATTCTTTAGTTGATAATTTATAAATATATTATTTTTTTATAAAAATTTACTAACACTTGATGAAGAAGTTATGAATTTTATATTTTTCTAGATAAATTAATCATATGGATGACATATTATTATTTATTAGCACCATAAATCAATGTAGATTGTAAAATAAATAATATAAATTAAAAAGTTCTAACTAAATGAGTTTTTTTGTGAATCCTTTATCCCAAAACGCTGCAACTTTTTCTAAATTAGAGTTTTGGGCTAAAAAAACTTATTAAATAAGCTATTTACCAAACAAGTTCAATAGCAGATTTGACGGGTCAAACCTCTCAATTAAGTTCAATCCCTTAATTTATCTTCAATCCGCTCTCTACCATACAGGGCCATTATGTAAATCCACAATGCAAATAGAAAAGTGTATATTTCTATTAAAAAATAAAAAACAAGAATAGAAGAGAAATTAAGTGAGTAATTATTAGTTAGAGAAAGTATTAGCGCGCATTTCAATATGCTGTTTGTTAATCATTAACCTACTGAATTAACCTAATGAAAAGAATTTTGAGTAGTCACGCGCATTTGAAATTTAAAGTTTTTCTTGTCGGCTTCCGAATTTTCCTTTCCAACATCAAAGTATATTTTAGCTTACCATACTACACTTCCTGTATCCATTATGAATTGAACTAGTATTTGATCATGTGTATTTGCACAGATATAAATAAAATATTATAAGTTATTTATATGTATATATTAATTATAAGTTAGATACTTATATTATTTTATTTTAAACATAGAGTACTATAAGTTATATTTATACATATAATATTAAAATTATAAGTTAGATAATTATATTATGTTTTAAAATTTAATCATTTGTTAAAATAAATAGTAAATATGATTTGACTGCATATAAATCACTGTATTTATTGAATAAAATGTAATAAATAATGTAATTTTTGTAATTTTGAGAGATCATGACCAATTAATTAGCTGAAAAATATTAAATTTATTATAACAACTGCTTATACGATTTTAAAGAATTTTATTATGACATTAACACATATAATTTATTTAGAAAACAAACTCTTAATAAGATAAAAAATATAATATTGATTTTAGAATAAATAATTTGAACAAAAGTTTTTAACAATATAATTTTTTATGTTTATGTAACGTTCATATATCATTTGGTGTAAAATAATTATTAATTTTAATAATAACTATTATACGATATAATAAAAAATATAATTATTACTCAATTAATATAACATGTAATGATTTTTGTCTTAATTAACCCAAAAATAATTGCAAGCAAATATTTTATCATTAATGGGATAGAGTAGACTAATAATAATAATAATGATAATAATAATAATAATAATAATAATGGAGTGTAACGGTTGGAAGGAAAATGCCACATAAGTAAACTTTATTAGGTTTTATTTAATGATTCATGTTTGTAGTATTTTTTGACATGTGGCAACCGAGCTACCCGACTCGGGTCGTTCTCAAAGGAAGGCTGTTCGGAGCTTCGTTCACTACCTAGTCGTCAAAGTCACATAACCGAAAATAGGGTCCTAAACATTATACTCGCTTGAAGGAATTGGATTTGCATGAAATTAAACTAAGAATATAGAGCAAATGATGAAAGATGCAAATATAGAGAGAAAAAATTGAAACTTTGGTCTACCGGAATCTCCATGACTAAAGAAAAAGAAAAATAAACATGAAAAAACATACGAGCATAGTGATCCTAGGTCATCTAATAACAAGAGAAAACATACGAGCAAAGTTGAGATCTCTACACAACATAAGCACATATAGATTCCTAACACACGTAAGCAAGTAATAAGAATAAAGAAAAATCAGGAAACGAGCATAAACACACAATTCGAATGACAAAGTCGAAGTAGTAAGGCCTAAGCAAGGTACCTACTCTCCCATAGCATGCTCGGACGAAAATAGTGAATAAAACTCGAAACTTGAATGAAAATAAACTTGCTGGAATTTCGCCGGAAAAATAGTCATGAATCTCCCAACCAAAGCATAAAAAAAAAGAAAAGAGGAGAGAGCAGAGAGAAAATGGAGAGAATTTCCCAACTTAAAAGTTGAGAAATGAGGGTTGTGCCCAAAAATACAAAGCACAATGTCTATATATAGCTACACCTCAAACACACACTAAAAACATGCACATTTACTAAATTACTCTCGAGCTCTCCAAATTTTTCGCGAGGTCGCGAGTATGCACGGTGACAGGGCATGGGCACTCGCGCGCGCGCGGCGTGGGTAGGACACTGGGCGCACTCGCGAGGTCGCGGGCTGGTCCGCTGGGCGCGGGCGCTGGCAAGGCGCGNGAAATATAACTCAATTGGTAAATTAATAGGTAATCTTGAGATAAAATAATGAGTGATTTCTGAAAAGAAAAAAAATATATAGGAACTAAAAATTTCATGTGTTTAATATATTTTTAATAGAAAAATTGTAAACACAATTAATCAATAAATACTACATAAAAAATTAATGTTTAAGAGGACTACAACAAATTTCTATATTGCAATGAAAAATTTAACGGTAAGGTAATCTACAGAAAATTCCAACGAATATTTCATAAATATTGCTTTCATTGGAAAATTTCATTGGCTATTCCAACAAAGTTCAAATTAAATTACTTGAACTTTAGTGGATTTAAAGATTTTAATTACTTGAATTTCCATTGGATTTTTTTTTGGACCATATTTCAATTGTTGGAAAAACTGTCATTGGAATTGTGCAAAAATTCAATGGAAATTCCATTGGAAAGCTAATTGCAGTGATAGATCTAAAATAATTTCATATTGGGGGCATTATTTAGTTAATAGAAAAAATATACCATCAAAATAACATGTCATTTTAATTTATAAATTAATCTATCACCTTTCTGATTTTGTAATACATTTTAATAAATCAATACAGTCACAATAAAATAAAATATATTTCAGAAACTAAAAAAACATGATTTTTCTCAATTCAACTTAAGAAGATCGTTATATTCTTGTTGTAATTTTCGTTGGAATTTTCTCATTTTCTTGTAGTAAAAGTAGGACTCCAAATCTATAAAAAAAATTGCATTATATATAATATTGTGTGCAACTATTATTATGAAAATTTTTATATGATAAAAAATATAACACATTCAATGTAATTGTCGTTTAATTTATGATAATAAGTAATTTTTGTTTTAAAACAAACAAGATACTTTGAAAGGTCCTTAATTATTTTATTAGTATTATAATAACTAAATAAGGGGTAAGAATGATGAGAAAACTTATAGCTCTCATTAAATCAAAGAGTAAAAATACTGATAAAATTACTTAATGTACAATATCAATTAGAGCTGGCTAATGAGAAATATAAAACATACTTAAGATAGACATATATTTTAACTAGAACTTTTAGGTACATAAAATATATATGTATATATATATATATATATATACATTTCTTTAAAATTGGGTATGTTAATCTTAAGATTTTTTAGTTAAAAATTTAATTACTTTCTCTCATTAAATTTTTTAATTTTGAAATACTTCATATTTTTTATTTGTTACTCTTTTTATATGTAATATATCACATCATTTCTTTTCAATAATGTTTGAGTTGACCAATATATTGAAAATAAAATAAAAATAATATAATTATTTATATCGATATATATATATATATATATATCAGTAATAATTTTAAAATAATAAATTGACCTAAAATTATAGTATATATTAATTTATTTATTCAAGTTAAATCAATTTTATTAAGTATAGAATAACATAAGATAAACTTGTGGTATATTTTTCTTACATAGATTTGAAACAATTCATATTACAAATAAAATAAAAAAAATGGAGGTAAACTTACAACTATTCCCACATTTTAGTTAGAGCGCCCATTCTCGATATATATTTAACACTGGTTTGCCGTAATGCTGAAACTATGGCGAATGCACCTTAGGTACAAACGAAGCGAAGCGAAGTGAAATCATAGATAAGAGAAGGAAAAGACTAGGCCAGAGAAGGGAAATGAGATAACATTAGCTATTTGAATTAAAAAGACAAATAAATGAGTTGGACGTTAAACTATTATTCAATTACTGCTTGAAAAAGAACCCTATAATGGTGGTACCATATATGTATTCAGTGATTATGAAAATGACTTA